CCCCCCCCCCCCCCCCCCCCCCCCATTAAACTGGCCTTATCTTCATCCCTAGTTAACAAGAAGCAGATTAGCATCATTTGGGTTTAGCAACAATAGTGTGACAGCGATTTAAACAGTATATATTTAAACAATCTGTCGACAACCTCGACTGTAAAACAGCTAAACCCAGCGTGCTCCGACAATCTTGTCCAAGGAGATTAAGAAAGAGAATTCCAGGATGTACTTAAAAAACAAACTAAAACCGGACGCTGTTGAAATCATTTAAAGTTAAGCCTCTCACTCTCACTCTCACTCACACACACACACACACACACACACACATCTCAACAATGAGGATGTTTGGAATAAAGGGACTCAAAGGTTGCCAGGCTTACGGAAGTATGCAAAAACTTGCTTGGTCACCCTGCCACCCTCTGCACCCATCCTCAATAACAAATGACGACTGCGGCACCGACACTCAATGAAAGCTGGTGCAGGGCGAGCCGTGAGCCGGCAGACTGCCCACAGCGGAGTTCTGTCCCATCGGTCATGACTGCAGGAGAATGTATTTGGGCAGCAGCTGTGGCTGTCTCTCTGTTACCTCTATTTCACCGGTACCCCGACATGAAGCCACTCTACACCCCAAGCGGTGCTAATTGGCACACTGGCACTCAGGGTGGCACAGTCTGCTTGACGGGGTTATCGTTCAACACGGTGTTGGTTGAACACAATAATGGTCCTCATGTGTCCACAACAGCAGAACGTTATTCAATTATGCAACGCCTGATATGAATTGAGCGCTATATTCAGTCTCCCTCTCTGATTTTCTTCTTGCTTTCTCTACGCGTCACCAAATTGTGCTAGCTCATAAAAGAAAGACGAAAAACATGGTGGCATACGTCAGATTTTGTGTTATTGTGGTCATATAAATGGAATTAATGGTGCTGTTAGATTGCTCCCGTAAATACAGGAACGTGCGGCAGAGTAAACAATTTCTTTTTGAAAGGCTAAACGCCAACAAATACGGATTGAAGCATAATATTTCGTGAGATATAACGTAAGATTACTATTTTTGACTAACAAAGTGATTTATAAGCTGCGCATTCCCAAAAGAGTAGTTGGACAACTCATAATCAACAATCATCAGGGCTTTGGCAAAGGCAACAGAACATAAACATGACCGTCAGCGATCCCAGCATGCCTTTTTGTAACATAAGGCTTGCTCTCTATACATTGTGCCAACTTATGGGTATTGCAACATATGCGTCTCCAGTCCATAGATATTTATAACTGTGTGTGCCTCTCTCTTCAGCATTTTTATTTCCTGTGTAGTTTTTTCTTAAAGCAGTGTCGTCAGTAGGAGAATTTCAATATCTCCCAATCCTTTCTGAACCAGGAAGTGACTGCTATAAGATCAAGAGGACATCAACAATGTGCACGTATCAGCACAACCTCATCTTATTATCAAAGCACATCAGTTGCTTGTCATCTTTGTCCCCGTCTTTCAGGCTCCTCC